CACCCCATGGCCCTCTGCGATCTGCTGAGAAAAGATAGCCTGCTGAGTGTTTTGGGAGCATGCTTGACATACTTGAGGCTGCGCATATAGTGTGTTTGCCTTGCTAACTCTATGGTTTCGCCTCCGCTAGACACGCGGTCCAGAACAACTTGGTTTCCTGGAGCGCGTTGGTTTCGCCAGAAACCAGTTTCGAGAGCGCGTGGAAAACCTCCGAATAAACCACTCTTTAGCGTGAGGAAACCACTCTTTCACAGACTTCGCGTGGATTTGGAATCTTGGTTTTTCGGGGCTTCTTCTGGGATTGCTTACTTGGTTTCTTTCTTGACTCGGCTATGTCGCGGGATGCATTATTGGTTTCTGTTCTAGACCATGGTTTCGTACTCAAAAGTGGTTTCTATCTTGAAATCTGGTTGCCAGTAGCTGGTCCCAAGTCCGAAACCCCAGCTATATCCTGTGTTGTCTAGCAGTTCACAAAAACACATGTGTTTTGCCAGGTCGGGTAGCCTCGTCGGCATACGCGCAGAAGCTCCAAGCAGCAGGTGCTTCCCATCCTTGCTTGGGTTCACAGGTTTCATGTTGGTTGTGACTTGCTTTGGCGTGTGCTGTCATTGCATATACTTGGGGAATGCAGATGTGATAATTCAATCGAATATATATGTATATATGTACATTTATCAACCAAACAAATAATGTGCAAGCAAAAACATTGTGGTAGTAATTGCACATTATTTGTTATTGGTTGTCTTTATCATGATATGTTACTGTATAACTTCATCATATATGTGTTTACAATATCTCCCACGCATGTTATTCTACATGTTTCTGTTCTACAAAATCTAACTATACCTCTTATATTGTATGTGATGCTATATGATATTATCGGCTTCTATACTGTGAAACAGAAAACTATATTCTATTCTACTTTATATATATATGTAATCGTAGATGATAAGACATATATGTCTGGATTTCCTGTTATATGTTTGACTATTGTCAAACATATAATAGGGAACTCGGCTATGCTGCCTGAAAATGATATAGTCTAATTATAAACCATATTACACCGCATTATGTTTTCTCTTTCAACTATTATGTATGTTCGATATAATTACATACCCACTTATATATTCTTGAATGAATTCATGTCTTTATACAACATATGCCTATTCTTGTTGGTACTGACGTACTATATATACATGTGATGAGCATAATAGAGGTATATGGTTCTGAATCGTAAACTCAAAGGCACACAGAGAAAGATAGCGTGACACTTGTGTGCCTTTCAGTTTACGACTCAGCCCCATGAGATTGAGATATTTGTCTCTATGTACATGTACACAGGGACAATTACAATTTCGCTCTGCCCATCATTGTATTTGCAGAGTGAAATTGTAATTATTGCTGTGTGTAGATGTATTACATGATATACTCACGGAAAAAACATAGACGCATGCTTAGCATTGCTCATTTGCCGATATACAAGTCCTGTTCTAGATGTCTAACTGTACAATACTGAGAAAGCATAAATGAAGTTGGCATGCATCTGCATTCCCCCTGTGTGTTGTCAGACTTCCTCATGGGCCACAGCAGTACTGTGAACCTGCACGGCCATGGCTCTTGTGCATGTATGCAAGTGACTGAATGAACTGTGCAATCTGCTGTGATCTCGAGACAATTACTAGTCTTGACGGTGCTCTGTGCAACAGTCATGGATCTGCGCCTTGGGTCCCGAAGCTTCAGTTGCAGCTCCTTGATGGACGGCCAAGAGGCGCTCAAGCTGCAAAGGCAGCCATCGAGGATTGCCCCAGTGCCCTCAGCTCCTTGGCTGAAGCACAGGGTCCTGCTTTAGCCCAGCATGTTTCGTGACATGTCAATCAGAATGCACACTGCCGTCGCACACTGCAATCTTCTATGCATTCGCTCTCTTCGTGTGCAGGTTGCCAAGGCCCAAGTTAAGCAGCGCTTGACTCGAAGTACATGGAGTTCTGCATGTCCTGTCAGGAGCATATAGCTAAGGTCAAGCAGGAACAGCATTGGTTGGGTGAAACTTTGGAGCAGTTTTCCCCGAGATCCAGAAGCCTCATTGCCAAGCTAGAGGACACCCTTGAAAGCCGGACACTGGTGGCCAGAATGTTGGAGAAGAAGAATGGTGCACATGGCGTCTTAGACCTACAGAAGTCATTATCATAGAACCCTGTATATTTCCCTGCATACATAGACACATGTACCGGTACACATGTATGAATGTCCTACGTATGTGTGTTCACACACTTCTCTATCATCTTCTTCAGTTGAGATTATACAGAGATATACATCTATGTATTCATGTGGACAGAAGTTGAATGCTTAAGTTTGAGTCTGGCAATGAACAGGGCTTTGTGTATTCATGCTCAGAATACACTGCTAAAGAAAATGAGTATGGTCTATACATATTTGTCTGTGTATCTATGTATATGTATATGTATCTGTATATGTATCTGTATATGTATATGTATATGTATATGTACATGTATATGTATATCTATATGTATATGTGTATGTATATGTATATATATATATATATATATGTGTATCTGTACATGTATATGTATAAGTTTATGTATATGTATATGTATATGTATGTGTATATGTATATGTATATGTATCTGTGTATGTATATGTATATGTATATGTATATGTATATGTATATGTATATGTATGTGTATAGATGTGTGTGTGTGTGTCTGTATATCTATGTATACCTATATGCATATATATATATATATATATATACACATCTATTGGTGCCACACAAAGGTAGAGAATCTGTTCTTGTTTCATGTTTCTCCTGAAACTAGAGTCTTATAGGTGCTGTGACAGCCATGGAAAAGCCGTCAGGTTCGACATGTGACCCTCAGCTAGAGGAGAATGCGGCTCAGCCAGATGAGAAACCGGCAGGCAAGGGCAAGCTCAGGACTAGCAAGGGCATGGCCAGATGCCCCCCACCACCTCCTCCGGCAGTGCCTGTGAAGCGCGAGCTGGAATCGGAGGGGGTGCCAGCGGACAAGAGACCGAGGGTGACGCTTGACTCGATGCCTTTTCCGGTCGGAAGGTTGCCTGAGCAGCCTCCTCCGAAGCCAGCCTCAGCCCTGGACTTCGCGCAGCCGAAGATCGCTCCAAAGGTGACTCCGAAGGTCGTGCCGCCTCCGAAGAAGAATGAGTCGCCAGCCCGGGCACCGCAGGTGCCAGACTCGAAACCCAAGGCCCCTGTGAAGAGTCCTACGACCACCGTGAAGCCTTCGAAACGACCGCCCCGCCCGAGCTGTCGACCTACCGCAACACCGAGAGCTACTCCATCGCCGGTGCCACCTGTTTCAGCTCCAGCTGTGCATTCGGGTGCACACACACCGGAACGACCGAGACTTGCAGTGCAGGCAACATCCCCTCAGGCTACCATGCCGCCGGCCATGCCTTGTTCGCCCCAACTTGCACCCTACCCTCAGCTGGGGGCCCCGATGATGCCCAACCTGATTCCGGGTCCAATCCCAACCCTGCCTGGGCAGCTTGCTGCACCCATGCCCCCAACCATGCCAGTTGCTCCAACTTTGCCTGGCCCTGGAAGCTTTCCCCAAAGCATGCATGGAAGCATGAATGCAGGCCTGCTGCCTGCTTTTCCTCCCACGATGACGGGGTGCCTTCCCCCCACGATGCCTGGGTGCCTTTCCCCAACCATGCCTGGTGGCTTTCCTCCTTCAATGCCCGGCCAGTGCCCTTGGAACATGTATGGACCTGGACAGGTAACGACAGCTTTGCAAAGGCCTGGCAAAGGAAAAGGGGGGCCTGCTACGACGGTGCCACGCGAAGCGGAGACCGACGATGAGTCCACTGATCCGTCGGAGCCTATTGTGGAGGATTCCGTGCAGGAGAAGGGCGAGGGCAAGGGCAAGCGCGCAGATGTGGGTGCATCGAAGCTTGGACCGGGGCCTACAGAGCAGGCTCCCTTGTCGGAGAAGTGCGAGGGCAAGGTTCAGCACACACATGCGGTCGCACCGGGGCCTATGCAGGATCTACTGCAAGAGCAGGGCGAGGGCAAGGGCAGCGCAGATGTGGGTGCAGCGAAACCAGCTGAGCCAAGTATGCAGTCTGCGCCTCCGAAGTCAGATGCCAAGTGAGGACTGTGTCGGCACATGTATTGGGCACGATAAAAAAGGATTTCCTTGCATGTGTTTCCTGCGACCTTTGGTTTGTCCTGATCTTAAAAGAAACCTGACATCTGAGGTTGCATTCCGGACATATTTCCTCGACCTCGCACCCGCAAGCTTGGAACTGCCTTTACCGCCTGGTGAAGTCACAGCAGATCAGTGAGGAGATGATCAACAAATGGAACTCAGGCTTGTGCACATGTGTCTTCTCAAACGAATAGCCCCAGAGAAATCTATCAACCTGACGATTAACTTATACATCTGTGAGATCTGTATATTCTCTATGTGTCTTATATATGTATATATAGATATGTGTAATACATACACATATGGACTCATGCTTTGTATATGTGTATATGTATGGATATATAGATGTCTATAGAACTGATATATACATATATATATATATATATATATATAGTTATATATTCGGGGTGCCACATAGAACCCCTCTGCTGCATAATATATATATATATATATATATATACATACATACACATGTACATATATAGTATTCTACACATGCAAGCACACATGTTAATACGATTGGAATTTATATACATATGAATACACATGAATATCTGTATATGCTTGTGTGAATCCAAAAGATCATTCTAGGATTCTTCTATTGTATACGTGTGTATATGTAAATAAATATGTATATATATATATATATATATCTCCCCACATAATTCTATACATATTTTCTTTTCCATTATGAGACCATGTATAAAATACCCCCGCATGCGACAGACTACCCTCTGCACAGGTGGTCTGCCAAAGCAGAAGCTTGTGCGGGAGTTTGTCGAGAAATGCTACATGCCGTCAGCTTCTGCTGCAGAGAACAAGGACAGTCATACATGGTTTGGATTCTCGTGTGTCACACTACTTTGACCCACCCCTCTCCTTCTCCCTCTCTTTGCTTTGCTTGCTCTCTCTCTCTCTCTCTCTCTCGCAACTAAGTTATCCTTCCTTCTGTGTCTTCGGACATGCTGGACAGGACAGGCTTGAAGCGCTTTTCAAGCTGAGACAGCTGACGAAGGATTGGAAGAAATCCATCGCTGGCTACGAGTGGCTGACAGAACAAGAGATGCGTGATGATAAGAAGTGGCCTGAGTCACTGGGCTTCAAAATCATATTTGCAGTTGATGATGGGTTGGACTGCCAAGTCTGCTATATCTAAGGCCAAAAATCGCCGGGGCCAAGGCCCACTGTGAAGCCAAGCGCCTTTTCAAGCGCTGTTTGTACGAGAATGTCCGTAAGTACTTAGTGCTCACCTCGGACCGGGTGGAGTCACTTGTCTTCAACTTATCATGTGCTTACATGTATACATGTATATACTGGTGCCTTCGGCTTTGTATGCTTACATGCGGGGATAAACAAACTGAGGCAAGGAAGTGAAAAACTACGTGAGCTCGAGGAGCTCATGGAAAGCTCAGGTCAGTCCTTCTGCAGATTCCGGCCTGCGAGTAGCAGCCAGTGTTATCAGCCACACACCTGGGCTGAGGCTTCTTTCGTGAGAACTTCGACATCCATACGGGTATCGGTGATGCTGTGGATCTGTCCGACCAGGAAGGAGATGACGACAACAAGAAGGGCGGGAACAAGTCGCGAGACAAGGGCCTGCCAGAAGTCGATGGGCCGGAGACTCTGAAGGAGTTCGTGAACAAGTACAAGAAGAGTCTGCTCAACCGCCGGAGTGCGTTCAAGGAGGTGCTTGAGCGCTTGCAAACAGAGAATGCGAAAGGACATACGATTCTCGACTGAATGCTGTACTTGTAAGTTATTCACTTCCAAATGCATGCCAATGTCTGCCTTTGCTGTTGCCTGCCAAACATTCCTGCCCCAGTCAAGGGATGACCAGAAGGAGGCTGAGGATGCCATGAGAAACTCGCTACAACATTAGTCGGTTGCAAGCATCTTCCGTTTGTTTATCCCCGAAATCATTGCTGTGCTGCAGGAGCGGTCAATGATCTTTACAAGAAGTTTTGCGACAAGGAGCTCGAAAAGGATGCTTCTTCGCAGCGGCTCGCCTCAGCTTTGTGGTTTGCAGTTTGGCCCCTATAAATACGATATGTTCCTGCACGGTTCTCTGTGTTATGTGCGCTTTGAGTCTACATATGATACGTGTGATATTCCCAGGACCAAGGAGAGCTACACCGACATTGCCAAGCAAGTCCGGGAGGCATTGATTCGCTTCAACAACTGCCTGAGTGCTCTGAAGCCTCCCGATCAGAACTACAACTGTTCACTACTATAGGTTTATAAGTCCACCTCTCACATTTATGTTTATCTGCAGCTGAGGACCCACTTCAAGAAGCAGAGCAAGGTCAAGGGCAAGGCAACCACGAAGCAGGAGCCACCTGAAGAGTGAACCGGGGCCTGAATGTGCAAATGAATGCAGGCCCCTAGGATACCTTCGGAATTTTTGCTTCAATCTGATGCTTGAGTGTTTAACCTTCTCTAGAACTCTTTCTTTATTCTATCTTTATACGGAGATATCTACCTCTCTATTTCCAGGGTGCCTGCCAGGATTTGCGACTGCTGTTGTGGTCTAGCCACAATGGCCTGTGTTTTGGGACACCTGCTCTAGGCAAGACCCATATTTGCCTGTAGGCAGGATGTCATGTCAAGAAATTATCTGTGCAACCGGGGTTCACTGGTGTCGTCCTGCCGGGCGTGAAAAGGTCGCGGAGTCGTGGAAGTCACATGCTTGGAATCCCTTCGGCATGCTTGGCGGCAGAATGTATATACGAACTGCTATATAGAGGTATGCACTTTCAATTGAAAATGCATATCCCTATATACGCAGTTTCGTTTCTATACTTCTGTCGTCTCATGGACCATGTCATGCTCACATATATATATATATAAACACAAACCTTCATACATACACACACTCAGATGTGTATGTATGAAGATGTGTGCATAGATATAAATAAAAACATATATACCCACATACATATATATATATATATATACACATTCACTTTTATTTACATACGAATCAGTATGCCATGCATATATATATATATATATATATATATAATTATATATTATATTATGTTATATTATATTATATTCTATTATATTCTATTATATTATATTATATATATATCTGATTATGACAGATAATTTGCATATCTGTCTCTTTCTCTCTCTCTCTCTCTCTCGCTCTCTTTCTCTCTCTCTCTATCTGGTTTTCCCTCGTCCCTATCGCAGGTGCTTCAGCGATCAACAATGTCTTGGAGAGCTACCTAGTGCCTTGCATGGTTGTCGTTTGTCGCAGCTCGTTTCTTTCTGTCTGAATGTACTGCCCTGTATCTGAGGCACATGGAGCTACTCATGCAGCACGCATTGCTTGGGACACCCATCAGACAATGCAGCCGGGCAACCCTGGGTATGTGGAGCTGGTTCAGCTAGGCTTGGCTCACAATGCAAATTCGGACAAAGAAACTGTGTTTATGAATAACATCCTTCGTCTGGGTTTCGCCTTGAGTACACAGCCTGTTCGTGTTGATGTGCCTCTTCGAGGGGGGGCTGCTTCACAATACATCATTCCTATTCGGGATCTGGCTACGGAGATTCTTGAGAAGTATCCCCAGAAGTTGCTCTTTGGGAACAAGGGAGACAATCCCCAATCATTGGCAGCGGTGGGTGAAGCACTGGAGCAATTTTGGCGGAACTTTCGGCCAATCCGGCCGAACCACCCGGTATTTGATGATCATGCTCATGAGTTGGACCGAGTCCTACCGTGCCGCTTGCATATGGATGAGGGCACATCCCTGCGCAAACATGCGGTCATGCAGGTGAGTTGGGGACCACTTTTGAAGGAGGCTCCAGCCAGTGTGAACCATTGCTTTTATTTCACGAGCATCTTGGGAGACAGCTACAAGGAGGTTCATTGTGGATACGCTGGCGGAAATACAATTCTAGATGCGATCTGCAAGCACCTTGCAATTCATTGCAAGCAAGCATACTACACTGGCATGGAATTTGGCACCCAGCGCTTTTTCCTTGCGTGGATTGGTCTAGAGGGCGATCTACCTGCGCAGGCCCGTGTGTTGCACTTGAAGCGGAACTTCACCTGTGCTCCCAACATGTGCTGTCCATGGTGTAAAGCAGACGATCGTGACACGCCATATGCAGATTTCAGGCCGAGTGCCTCATGGAGGTCGACTGTGGGTTTGGATCACCCCTGGACTATCCCATCGCCTCTTCACAGCATACCTGGTGCTGAAACTGCTGAGTTTGCTTTGACAGACATCTTTCATTTGTGCCATTTGGGTATTGTGCGAACTGGTGTCACCTCGCTGATTTGCTACCTTTGCTACAATGGCCCCTTTCAGCACGGTGGCACCAGTGTTCCTGCGCGCCTACATTATGCATACAAGCTTTTCGCAGAGTTTTGTCGAACAGTGCTTCAGGCCACCCCACACTTGAAGGATTTCACCAAGGAAAACCTTGGATGGGATAGCATGAATTGCATGCCGGAGTCTTCCATGAACCTTGGTCTTAGACTATCTAGGGTGTGTTTTGTTGAAGTACCGGCAACTATACTACATGTTTCATGCTGAAACATACAACCGAGGAAGGGTTCAGATTGCACCCTCATCGTGAAGTTCCTCTTGGAAATCCTAGGACAGCCATGGCTACTTGATGATGTGGCAACATGTGCTCTTCAATGGCTGGCTGCGATCAACGACTTCCTGCACCTTTGCTACACCACGGATCGTACTTTCTTCACGCCGGGACAATGCCAGATTGCGCATGGACATTTGTGCAAATTTGCCGAGAAGTATCATGAGTGTGCAAGGCTGTGTTTTGCGCGGAAGCTTTTATTCTTCAATCTTACCACGAAATTTCACTACATGCTCCATGTGCGGGATTCGCTGGAGCTTCGACCGCATCAGAAGTTATACCTCAACCCTGCAGCCACCAGTACACAAATGGATGAGGATTATGTAGGCAGGGTGAGCCAGAGCAGCAGAACGGTGCATGCTCTTGGTGTGCCTCTCAGGGTTGGCCAGAAGTGGCTTGTGTACACCAAAATGAGATGGTCAGGACAGGTTGAGTGATGATAGACAAGGTCCTTCTATGTATGGTCTTGCAATGCTTCTATCGTGCTGTCCTGATGTTTCTCGCTGCAAACCAACGACTGGAGCATCTTTCGTGCAAAAAACACAGAGTGTCATCATGCAGGGATACCTCGAGAAGTAAGAGTCTTCAAGACCCGAAACCAAGAAATAGGCAGAAACCAACTATAGTTAGTTATGGCCCAGATACCAACAAAAGGAACGCCAAACCAATGTCTAGGTAGGGCTTACCTGTATCCCCAAACCCTACAAAATGGTAGGTTATGACCCTTCAATTATAGGGCATAACCATCCAAACGGTAGGATTTTCGGATCCACAGGCACGATTTGAAGAGCTCGGGGAACTGGGGTTTGACCTTTTGAATGTCTCTGGACTTCTTTCATGCTTGTGCTGCTTCTGGTCAGGATACCGAAATGAAGATGTCGGACAATGAAATTCAAACGAAGGCGCACCACGGATTAAACCTCAAACCCAAACCCCCTCGTGTATCTGCATGACTTCTTGCTGCCAAGCCTGTTGCTTGCCGGACGTATAGAATACACCAAAACCGTTAAGCCATGAGCGGTCACGCTAACCTTTTACTCAGAGGGCTTGGGCACAATAGTCAGCGGTATATAGTACACAACATGACGACTGTACACGACCATACAAACTCCTACGCAAGCTGCGATGCAAAACTACACCCCCCTCACCTAAAGGCACGGTCACTGCATTCAAAAACACAGCATACCTTCGCCTGCAGGTGGAAGAGCGCTTCGGCTCGGAGTTCGACGATCGGCGTGGAGTTGCCTCCCGCGTCATCAGTTGTATCAGCAAAAGTACATGTGACTATCGTGTGCCTCGAGGAAGGGTGCGAAAATTGCATACGAGCTTTTCTTCAAATGCAAGACGCTGGTTTCAGCGTGGAGCAAGGACGATAGGAGTTCGCCGCACAGCCACTTGAAAAATATCACAGGCCGGGTGAACATCCCTCTTGCTCGAAAGAATCAGACTACTGGGTCGGCTTATCAGTACCAACGCCATCCGCGATTGCGCCACTCACGCCAGTCCTGGTTGTCCCAGTTCTGGCCGCGCCATGATCCCCAGGATGACGAAGACCAATTCTGCCACCAGGATTGATCATCCCAGTCCCAGTCGCGGTCGGTGCGATCGGCGGCCTCGGCGTTAGCCGGGCGTTTGCCTTTTCCCTTCTCTGCTGCTCGGGCATACGTAGAGCCCTTGCCACCACCTGGCGGATGCTGCTGGGTATACTTCGGCTGGGCAGCACGACTTTGATTGGCCTTTTTGATGGTTTCATCAACCGTCTCCACCATGAAGGGTAGGTCCTTTGCCAAAACGGTCTGTAGGTCCGCACCCACTGCAGCGGGATCGTAGTTGAGAAGATCCACCTTGCCGTGGCCAAAAGTCTGTAGACGGATGCCCCCCTTTTGCCTGGCGATGTTGTGAGCAAAATCTTGGAACGAAAGGATGGCTCCGTACCAAGTAAATGCTACTGGCGTATCCTCCGGCGTGGACGTTAGTCCCGCTGCGCACAACTTGCCGCCAATGCCATCGTCTCCGGTAAAGAAAACGATACGACACTCCGGAACCTCGTCCGTGCGGATCTGGTGCGTGGTACTCGCCGCTCTGGAGGATCCAATAGCCAGCATGCGTTGCGATCGAGTGCGGCCAGGGTTCGGAAGGTAGGCGAAGCAGAGGCAGTCGAGGGCACGAATCGTCCTGCGCGTGTATCCCTCTTTGGCCATTGAAATTGCGTATTCATTGTCATGATTGAACCTCGCTACGCAATCAGTGTAGCCCTTTTTCACGGCCCTCTGCTTTGCCACTTTGGCTTTCCGAATAACCTCGCCTTCTAAGGAGTTCATGCCACGGCCGGCGACATCTTTCGATGCGCTTTGAAGGCTTGGCCTCACTCCCACTCGTTCAGCGGCATCACCCATCTCCTGAAGCAGAGCTTCACGCCCACGTGCCAACAGCGTCCGTCTGCCCTGTGCCTTCAATTGACCTGGTCGAACTGGCCCTCCGCATTGAGAGCAAATCCTTTGGCCTTGAAGACACTCAGCTTTGCAGTGGTAGCATTTGATCTTCTCCAAAAACGCGGCGGATGGCTTTGTCTCACTACCAGCATAAAGTACTGGTTCTGGCCTTCCCACCGGCTCCTGGATTGCTTCAACTGGTGTACCCTCAGCATCCAGCGTCACCGTTGTCGCCATTCCGTCACCGATGTACACGGTCCTGATTGGAGGACCCGGCTGTGCAATGATGGTGCCTGGTTCAACAAGCGGCCTCTCCTCTACGGAGGGCATTTGCTCATCATCAGGGGCTTCATCGTTGTCAGCCTTTGCAGAGGCATCGGTGATAGCCAACGATCCCTCAAGCACATCAGCAACATCTGGAATAGGCGGCAGGGACGTTTCCTCAGCTGGAAGGGTACCATGTTCTTCATCAATAGGCGGTGCGAAATTGTCCTGAGTCGTCTCCTCGGGCTCGGGTTCATCAAGAACGATGTCGATGCCGGCCTCAGCGTTAGCTGGGCTTTCTCCCTGCTCTTCGTCAGGAGGTACAGTGCCCCCTGCACGGGACCAGAGTACGACATCGCGCTGAGTATCGTTGATGAATAGGATTGTTGATCCTGGCACTGCTTCGGAACACAATATGCCGTCCGATTCCGTGACGAATAGATCGCAAGCAGCTTCGAGGACCTCCCGAGTGTCAAAGACGATCTCGATCGGTGAGCTCGCACGGAGTCCTGAACGTGCCTTCTGCTCCTCGAGCGGCAGTGGCGCAAAGTAGCAATGCGCCTTCTCAGAACCCCCAAAACCCGGCAACAAACGATCTTCCAAAATCGCATACGCCGCATCATGTGTTGTGCGGTGATAGAGCCTGGGCGGCGCCTTGTCAATCGGGATCAACGGCCTGCCCTCTCGGGCGGCATTAGCCAGCTCATCAGAACGCTGCAGCGTAAGATATGCCTTTGCAATAGAGGCATTGTCGAGCTGCAGATTGCTGGAGTGGCCTTGCGTACACCCGACGTAGACCGGAAAAGCCGGTTGCCCAATTGCATCGGCAGCACTGTCCATTGGCCCGCGAAACATAAGGCGCTGTTTGTTGTCGGTAGCGATCATGTCGAGGAGGCTTCCCAGACCAATGTTGTTTCCAGGTCTGCATCGATTGGCAACCTCAAGCACTTCCATGGCCAATACCCATGGCCCGCTCCACGATCGCAGTTTAAATTGATTACCCTTGTTTTCGAAGTTTCCTCTGATGAGTCCAGTGACGAATGTAACCATTTTGTGATCACATCTCGGGTAGTGTAGGCCTGGCGTCATGTCCTTTTGGAACACTTCGATGTACTGGTCGGCCTCCTCTTGCGAGGGGCATTCGTTCCAGTAATCATACAGGGTAATGCCAGTCATCTCGGCGAAGTCATAGGTGTCGTTCATGAACCTCATTCCGCGCGATCCCTGCACTGCGAGCTTGGTCAATCGCTGCTTGTCGGCCTCAGCCTTTGCAAGGCGAGCTCTTTTTGCAGCGTGCTCGGTGCCAGAGTCGCCAGACAGAATGCCTCCACCATAAATGGATGCGTCGATCGGCATCGGTCGAATATCGCCAGAAGACGAAGCTGCAGTACTCGCCGGGGTAACGGCCTCCACCTTAGGTGGGGCTTTGTTCCATTCCGGCGAATTGATCTCCTCTTCTGTTGCGAACACACCGGGTGCGACGCTGATGACGTTCTGAATCTTCATCTCCTTGAGGAAGTCGGGGACCTCAGGCGCAGGCAGTTCGGCGTGACTTTCGTCACGCTTCTCCTCCCAGTATGCGTCGTCCCACGGATCCTCCTCCGTTGGCTCCGCCTTGACTTGCTTGCTTCTCGTCATCCTCGCAAGAGCCGCTTGCAGGACATGGTTATCGACTGCGTAGCGACCACGGGAATCAAAATAATTGTCAGCAAGCAGTGATTGGAAGGCGGCTTCGCCCATTTTCGCTATCGCTCTGGAGGCGTAGCGCTCGGCGATCTCGATCTGCATGATGTGGGCTAAACCCGAAACCATCTTGCGGCGGGATTCACTGTCCTCGCGGAAATGGACGTTGTCGTTATAGAGCGCCAAATCTCCAAGGAAGGGGTGGATGTCACAGGCGGCGAGTCCTCTACGGACCGCTTCGTCTTTGAATCGCGCAATGCATTCATCGAACTGCTTTGGCAACCCGTAGACGAAGCTGCGAACTCCTGTGCATATCACAATGGACCCCACATATGGAGAACGGCGCTGCAGGTCTGCAAGCGCTTCAAGATTTTGGCAAACTCTCCGACAGATCTTTTGCCAATCTCCGCGGGCCTCTATGGGCGATTGATGGTCCCACCACGTCGGGACGCCGGGGCTGCAAAATATCCCGTATCTGCCGACGATCTCATTCGCCATCCAGACAATCTGCACGTCCACCAGCAACTCTTGGTCGCCAGAGTAGCGCAGAGCCGTCTGGTCACAGAGGATCTGAGCCCTCTCCCGAAGTTCGGACAATGTTTTGCCCCACAGGGGTTCGTAAATTATCTCCCTGTACTGCAGATAGACCCCCGAGCTCGCTGCCTTCAAATCCGAGGAAAGGTCTGTCCTCGTTCTCTTGCCAGCAACGAAAACAGTCGTAGAGTCGGAGAGGAGGATGAGCACCCGCTTTCGGCCTCGATTTTCATCGGGCTTTAGCTGCGACATGCCAGACTGCGTCAATGCTGCCACTCGGTTGAGCCCTGGATATCGATCCGTTTCAAAGCAGTTGTGAGCAGCCACTTGCACCGGCATGTACTGAAAAAGTGCTCGCAACTCTCCTTCGTCAATCGACTCTTGGAAGCCTATCGACTCGTGACTGATGACGGCCGCCCAAAGCTGGCGGCCCCAAAAATCGGCCAACTGCTCTTCGTAGGTCGCCATCGCTCTTCTACTCTCAGCTGCTACCACGGGACTAGGACCCGGCCTCAGCGTTAGCT